AAACCAAGAACTAGGCATACGGCTCTGAGAACAACCTCCAGTTTAGTGACATCTGCTAAAAGCACAGGGCACTTCAGGGTCCTTCCCAGGCTCTGAGTCTCCTATTGTGAGTTTACGGTCAGAACAAAGGTAGCCCTATCTTGTGTAGCCATATTAGACTTTACATCTGGTGCTTGATTTTACTAAGTACAGTGCATAAATTAAGTAGGAATACTAGATTACATATAATACAGAAAAGGATACATTGAAAGATATCAATATGGCACAGAGGAAAAATGTAAAATGCATATTCATAAACTTATATGCATGTGAGACAGCTGTATTAATTAAATCAAAATCCCAAAGGTCCATTTCTTTGGAAGTCAATGGTCCATTTCACATATGACAGGCATAACAGGATAGAGGTTTGCTTTTTAAATTTATGAAGTCTGTGGGCAATTGTCCCACCTGCACATCAGAGCACGAGTCTGGGTGATCTCTGGGAAGGAACCTTTATTAGGTCTGTCTTGGGAAGGGAACACAGTTGGGTGGATGACATGGTGATTTGATTGTTCCGAGGCAGCTGCTTTGACAGGACTGTTTGGAAGCTGTTCTAACCTGGTAGTCTTAATATTGTTGGGATATTCTAAAGCACCCTGAAAAAAAGAAACAAAACAAAACAAAAAACAGCCTTCCAGCTCTTTTGCTCTTTTTACAATTACCAAGTAATATTTCAAACAAACAGCCTCACTCCATTGTTAACTTGTACCACAAATTCCCACCTCTGGGCTTTCAAGAATGGGATGGGCCAAGGCTTAGAGATAAGGGTGAAATATCACATGGTGTTAGGCATATTTATTGTGCATGTTACTTGTTAATTTTAAAAATACGTGATTTTTGCTTTGCGACAGGGCTCTGTAAAAATGGCCTCTGCACCAAAACAACTTTGTTCTTTGCATTATCAGAAAATCTTCGTCTTCAAGTAAACACATGGTTCTCTGCAAGAAAAGGGGAGCTTTCTATTTTTTCTTGCCATGTGCAAGGCAAATAGATTTTAGAAGGTCCTGACAGTTACTTGAGAGTTTTCATTTCTTCCTGTGGAATGTTCATTTTCAAACAAAGGAGGGAGTTATAGCTACAGGCTGAAGCGTTGGAATCTGATTCAGTAGGTGGTAAAGACTGGCTCTACTATAAGAGGGACATAGAGAATTGTAGGGAAATGTTCTTTTCTGACTGTGCAATGCACTCAGTCCCCGGATTGCTGAGAAAACTGAGCACACTGTCTTCAAGGAAAAAAGCTTTTCTTCTAATCACAATTTTTCAAATCTCAATTTTCAATAACAAATATTATTAAAGTCAGAGATTAATATAAAATAGTTCAGTACCAATTCTAGGAGATAAAGCAAGCATTTATTCATTCTGACACTAATTATTAATAAAAATAACACATATTTAGATTCATATATATAAGATCATACTATAGTGATTTTTTTTCCATTTCAGTCCGGTCAATTATATGTTGGGAAATTTTGCATCTCAAAGTTAGTCACAAAAATGAGTGTATAATTATGTCAAAATTTTGCATTGAAGCTAAAATACAATTAGTACATAAAAAATCTTCATGTTTCTAATATTCTATTAAAGTGCCTGATTTTCATCCAGATATTTGGAAACATATACACGCTAGGCTTCAACAGTCAAGTTTTCAGTTTGTAGAGACTAGGGAATAGGATGAGCAACTTCCTGTCCTATAGGTCAATGTATGTTTCTCATGAATACAGATTCTAGCCCCATTCTCTCTGCCTCTTAAGCTCTCATTGTCTCTTACAGGACCATTTCTAGGCCGTGCTGTGGTCACCCTGCTCCCAGTCACTCCCCAGGCTGGTCCATTCAACACACAAAGCCATGACCAAGGTTTTCCTATGACACAGATCTGATTACTTCACTCTGTTCTGCAAGATAAACATAAACTAAGGCCAAAGGGGTACATTGGAGGAAGGGACAATGCAAGAAGAGAAAAATGAAGCATAGGAGATGTTCACAAACTTGTAGGCATTTGAGAAATTAGACTCATTTGATCAAAATCAGAAACACACAACTCTGAAAATATAAAATGCAGACTGAAAAATTAAGGCAATCATCTTCTTAAACTTCTTACAGTCTTAAACTCATTTCTCCAGCTTTGTAGGAAGAGAATCACCCTGAGGAACTAATGGAATTGGATTCCTGAGTTCTTGTTGGGAAACTTCCTTGCCTAGGGCTCTTGGAGAAGGCAGTGCACATAAGCCACTTTATGATTTGGTCCCTTCCTTATTCTCTGTTGCCTGACAATTTTAACTTCACCAATATTAAACTCATTGCAGTTTCTTAAAGCCATCCCATATTAACCTTCAATAATCTTCCACATGCCTTTTTCTCCATTAAGAATTTTCCTTACTTTCTATCTTTGCCCGACAAACTGATTAATTCTCCAAAATTCAGCTCAAGCATTACCTCAGTTCCGAGGATCATTCCTTCATCTCTTCAAATTCCTCCTCTATGTCATCATTCGCCTTCCCTGTGTGGTTTTAATGTACTTAAAATAATGTATTATACTTATTTGTTTTCATGGCTGTTGTTCCCTTCTAGACTTGGTAAATCCTCAAGGAAAGAATCCATGTCGTTTTTATCTTGATATTTCCTTACAGAGTTTTTGGCGCAAAATAAGTATCCAATATATGTGTAACTGGATAGAAAAGAGGGAATGATTATTATCCATGTCTTCCTTTCAGCTGTGATTGTCCCGTGACAAAAGTATTTTTGGATGATGATCATTTGTCTTTTCATTTTGAGTTCAACAGCTAGTGCCAGGGGAAGATCAAGGAAAAGTGGTCTACATCTTGACTCCAGATTTTAAACAGCCTGTAACCCTCACTCCAAGGATTGTGCTTGCAGAAGGGGAAACATTGCCACTGTGACTAAAAAACAATATTCTTTAGCAAATCTAACTGAGTTTGTTTACCTGCTCTGGAATATAAATGTTTGAAAATATGCAATGACCGTGAAATAAGGTATCAAATTCTGCAGGCAAAAAGCCATAGGACCAATATTCCCAAAATAGCCCATTAATTTCTTCTTTTATTCAGCAACTGCACAGCTTGAGAATATATTTTAAAAATTCGATCTTGTTTTAAACTATTAAAGTATTTTCCAATGTCTACATAGCAGCCAGTTCTCCTTATATTATTCATGATTGCAGCCTGTCATTGTGACTAGTTTTTTCCACTACTTAACTGAGTGTAGTATCATTTCCATTTTGCTACTGCCTGATAGTACAGAGAAATGGAAGCTATAAAACTGTGCTCATCAAGAAATATTAATGGAGGGGGGTGGCCAGATCATTTTACAATGCTTAAAAGCTTAAGCTGTAATAATAACAAGTTGGCTTTTATTTCCTGAAATAATCAAAAGAAGAACTTGAAGGAAATGAAAGTAAAATCCAAAAGGATTGCAAAATTAGGTCAGAGTTAAAGAGAAATATTTTGAGTACCAGAAGAAATCTAAAATAAATAAAAAATAATAATACATTCCTGATACTGTTATTTGACTCAGATAATTGCTACTAAGTTATATAACTGGAGACTCCTTGAAGAATAGAGCAAAGAAGGCAGGAAGGCAGGAAAACCATCTTTCGCTCAATACCCATCTGGATTCAACCAGCTAAACAAAGGGGAAAATGGATTCATGGTTTAGAGAGAAAACAACGGAACAAAAACCTTGTCAGCTGTCAGAATGATGAGACTAAGGGAATGGAGGAACCAAATTCTTGACAAGACCAGTTTATGCCTGAAGAGAAAGGGGACAGTATCATACCCTGTTATCGGTAACCCCAGGAAATGGTGAGGCTACGTGGTTCAAGTTGATTAAGTAGTAACATCTTCATACACGGTAAACTGTTGTAAGTCTAGTGTTTAAAGTTATGGAAAGTTACCACACGTGTTTGAGAATTTCAGATTTCAGAGGAGTTAAGGTAAAATCTCTATCTGTCTTGATATTTGACCCGGAATTCCCAGCAGAAGTATTACAGAATTCAACAGGCCTGGTTAGTTGCTCAAAGGGACAGTGGTTTAATATACCTGGTTAATAGTAGAAAAGAAAGCTCAGGGAAACTTGCCTTGTTAGTGTGTTTGCAGAAGCCAGGGTTCTAATAAATAGGTAAGAATCATCATGTTTTTCAGTTTGCCTCTCACCCACATGGTCTCACATAACAAATCTTCAAAATAGTTTGAAAGTGAGTAGTAAACATCTCTCACCCATCACCAGTGACTCTACTTCAAGTCTATTATTATGTATTTCTGAAAAGTTATGTTAAATTTTTTTCTACCTGTTTTAAGTATTTATTTTATTTTGTCTCTTGGCTTAACAATGAAGTTCTGTTTTTCCACTGAATCCATCCTTTTCTGAACATTTTTCTGGTCACAGATTCCCTTGCGATCTATATAAACTCTTCCTAGACAAACGTGTCTGTGCGCACTTGTGTGTGCTCTTGCGTGTACACAGACACACATGCATTCACACACTCACACGCATATTCAATGCTGTACATAGCCTTTCATGGGTTTGTGGATCCCTGAGCTGTGAATACAAGCTTAGGAATTTCTGCTTTGTTGACTTGTGTTGTTCCGGCCTTAGACAAAATTGTTAAAAAGAGCCAGTCCACCTCTAGTTCACCTTGCGCTTCTTTGTAATGAACATTTATGGAGTGTCTGTGGTGTGCTGTGCCAGATTTAGCTTTCAATGATAAAGATACAAGTTTGCTGCATTTATTTTGTTTCTTCCTTTATAGACTGTCTAGAAATGCTCTATACTTCTTTTCATCTCTACCCAAATGATCTTTGTTGGTAAAACTTTAAACATTCCACATAAATTACAATAATATTTTAACCAAGCACAAAAGTTTGAATTTTCTGCTGAGCAAATTCTTATTATAAAATCCTCACTATAAGGATTTTAAAAGACATTGAGGACCTTGGCAGGGTTACCTGGCAAAAACAATTCTCTTTGGAGCTGTGCTCTGGCCTGCTGGGAAAAGCATCTTTTCTTCAGCCAATCAGCTTGGAATTCACTGTAATGCTCATCAGGCCACGTGATATACACCTTAAAACATAGAAAGCAAATATCACCTATATGTATATTATGCTTTTGTCTACTTCAGTTCTCCACTGTTGCTTTGTTTCTGAATGTTACTTACTATAATCAGGGAATCCAATTATTCCTTGCTTCTTTTTTTCAGACGTACAATAAACTTAAGTTTTTCGAAAACAAGAAAACTGCAAGCCAAAGGGATACATCTAATCTCTGAAGCCCCTAAATAGCGTCCAAGAAATAGAGTCTGATTAGATCTAAAGTTCTTGTCCTGTGGCCTCTAAACCTGTGGTCCCCAAACTTTCTGTGACAACTAAAGCTAGATAACAATTAAGACCCTGCCAAGGGTATTAGAAATAATGATGATAATGAGGAGAACAACAATAATTAAAATGGAACCACTTTGAGTGTTTACTATATAACAAGCATTGCAGACATAACTCATTTAGTCCTCGTAACAACTCTAGGGAAAAGATACTACTATTATTCTCAATTTTCAGGTGAGTAATATAAGATAAAATAACATTTCTGAGGTCATATAGCTAGCAAACAGGGAAACCTGGGAGTAAGTCCTTAAGTTGAGTTGTGGGTGGACAAGAGTATAACTCATTTAGTCCTCGTAACAACTCTAGGGAAAAGATACTACTACTATTCTCAATTTTCAGGTGAGTAATATAAGATAAAATAACATTTCTGAGGTCATATAGCTAGCAAACAGGGAAACCTGGGAGTAAGTCCTTAAGTTGAGTTGTGGGTGGACAAGAGTATTAATAATAAGAATCCTAGTAAATTTGGAAGAGAGAAACATAGGGTGGTGGCCACATCTAGTTTGAGGTTTTGATAGCTGTGCTTTTGGGGAATACCAGAACAAGCCTTGTCCATTTGCCTACGAACTTGATGAAAAAATATTATTCAATACTATTTTTTGAGCACTCACTGTATGCCAGGAACTATGTTAGATATTTTTACCCCTAATATCTCAGCGAGTCCTCACAACATTTCTATAAGCAATTTTTGTTTTTATTTCTATTTACAGATGAGCAAACTGAAGCCCAGGAGCATTGCTTTTATTGTAGAAATAGTTTGATTGTGTCTTCAAGGCTGCCACACTTACTGAAAAAGTAATGAGCAACACTGAAAATTTTATTAAAAATAGTAGTAGTAGTAATAATAATAGAAGCTTCTATTTACTGAGTTTCCTTAATTTGAACTAAGCACTATACAAACATGGCTTCATATATATGGTTATATATATATGACCAAATAAAAAATAGTTCTTTAAATTATTGTAGACTGGCCCCTTTATTTAACTTGGGAAAGAAGGGAGAGATAATTTAGAGATGAATACCTTTTTTCTGTCAAATGTTAAGCCTTCAATACCAATGTTCACATCAAGAGCTTCAACGAGAAGTTTCCGTGCTTTTGCAGAATCCAGGTAGCAATCGGAGCACTGGCAGTTGTCTCTCAGCCACACTGCTGGGTAGAGAGATTCCACACCATCATGCCAGAGGATCTGCATCAAATGAGCCCCGTCCAATGCTTCTGCCTTTTGGATGGCACAAGACATGTTTCCAGTCTTCAGCAGTAAATCTCGTCAGCTACCTGCTATAACAAACCAATGTCAAATGGAATCTCAGGCAGATCAGATCCAAACTTGACCTGTAAGAGTGTGGACACTTCAAGTGGACTCTGGCCTCTGCTATTCGTTCAGCTATCAGAGTCCAAAGTTTGACTTACCAATGCTGGAACCTTTGTTCTGGTAAGAGTTTTTCACATGAAATAAACAGAAACACAGTGACTAAAAGTCAATATAATAAAAGTGCTATGTCAGATGAAAAGATGAAAGGAATTTCTTGTTTTTCTCGCAGGCATTTGAGATAATAAGTTCAGAACCAATGACATAGGCACTTTTGTAATTATGTTTGCATAAAAGCTCTGGGATTTTTTAAGGGAAAAAATGTTGCACAAATTGAAAATGTAACAATCATATCTATGTTATTTTAACTGATGCCCAACTGCACATGGCTTTTGGAAAAAAATGCTTCTGTGATACTAAATTAGTAAACTTGTTCTAATGAAGAGAATATTAATATATTTCATTTATTTTAAGGTATATTATAATTCAGAACATTGTGTTATTTCTGTTCTATCTTTATTTTTTTTTTACTTATACAATATGTTTTCTCAATGAAATATAAAAGTCCCTGGCTCTACAAGGAACTTGTTTAGTTTGTTTTCTGAGATTTTCCACTTTAATACACATTAATACCATGTGCTTGATATTTTGGTTAGCTTATTTTGAGCCTTTATGGAGTACTTTTAGGTTCATATTATTTGGGAATGCATGACTTCTTTTTTAGTAAAACTCCACCAAATTTGAGGACACATGTGATATTTCCAAGAAAGGAAATTTGGTGAAAGATAGGCACCATAGTATTATGAACTTAGTCCCTGTGTCCATCGTGATTTCATAATGACATATATTTGACCTGCAGAAATCATGCCAATCTTCTACCTTTTACTTTCTTCATATATTATTTTCCAGGACTTTAAATTTGTATGGTTGAAAAGTAGAATTTACATGGAAGAAAAAGAACTTAACTTCTTCCATATAATGATCAGCTCATCATTAACAGAAAGTGACATGTTACAATGGAAATAAGACTTTATTGCCTTGAAATGAATGGGAGGTAGGCACACACACACACACACACACACACACACACACACACGCACACGCACGCACACACAGTGATTGCTTATAAAATCCCTTCTGTATCGCAGGCACTGTAATAGGCATTGGAAACTTCAATGACAAGCAAGATAAAATTTCTCCCTCTCTGTCTTGAGCTTGTAGGAAGACTTTATGCAACCTGAAAATAACTTAAACATACTCTACACAACACTAAAATAAAATGACTTTTAGGAGTTGTTTTACATATACTTCTCTAAATCATTGGCTTGGATGATTTAGTCAGGTTATGAAGCAGAGTCAAGACAAACAAGATTGCTTTATCCATATAGCCTGAACTACACTAGTGTTATCTAGTTATCTAGAATGGGAGAAATACCATTCATTGGGCATTATGCTTACCCCTGCTTGGGAACTCTTATCTATTTTTTCTTAAAAATTTGTACAGTAACAGGAGAGTACTATTACTTTAAAAATCATCAAAAATTATAATTTATTTCAAAGCTGGGAACTTAGATCCTAAGTTTGAGGAGCTCTGTGGAAGTCCTGACTTCAGTCTCTCTATGGCATGGGTAGGACATTTGTCTTTCCTGATAGGAGAAAGTGTAGGCTGACAGGTTTTGTCACGTACTTGGTTTCAGAAGCCAGTGATGGTTTCAGTAATTCTGGAATAATATAACTAGATCCTGAAATCACATTATACACAAGGACAGAAAAAGAAATATAGTGAATTTTTATCTATTTCAGAGGATGGCAAATATTTTCTGTAAAATACTAGATAGTACATCTTTCAGGGTTTGCAGCTTATATACAGTCCCTGTGGCATATTTCCGTCTTATTTTTTTAAACTCTGTAAGACTGTATCAACTACTCTTAGTTCATGGCATGCACAAAAACAATCTGTAGACCATATCTAGCCACCTGGCAAGAGTTTTCTAGTCCTTGATCAAGTTATCTAAGTTATGCTCTTCTTACAGTGGAATGCTATCATGTTCAAATGCAGAAAATAGTTCCCTTTTCCCTCCACATATGTAAAGTTGAACTTGTCAGCCAAATATATATGTATATATAATAAATATCTTCTTGGTACATGATGTACTAGTGGGTATGAAGATGATCTTGAAGTTCCAAACAAGGAAAAGTGAGATGATTATGAAAGTAAACAAAATATAAGGTTGTAGACAAATGGCACTGACAGTTGTCCGAGAGGCTCCAGGAGAACTGCTTAGAGAAGATGACTTCTTGAGTAAGTCTTGAAAGATCTGTGACCAACATTGTTTGAATGCATACCGATTCTACCTTATTTTCTTTCCTCACTAATAAAATATTGATTTCTTCAGAGCAAGCATGCAACTAGTATATAGATATATTTCTCTACTTCCTTTATAGCTAAGATTAGTATGTGATATAATTATGGCCATTAAAATATATTTGGAAGTTGCTGGGTAGGGAAATTTTTAAAAAGGTAGTAGACTTGGCTGCACATGCTGCTTTCCCTAATTTCCTTCCATTTCTTCCTTTCTGGAATGCAAATATGATATTGGGGGTGAAGCAGTCATTTTGCAACCATGAGACGATAAGAAGAACTATAAAATCTAAAAGCAGTCAGGGTTCCCCATGGTTCTGTGAAATCACATTACCAATAATGGACAGCTATGTCTTGACATCTTTTCACATGAGAAAAATAAATTCCTTACTTATTCAAACCTCTATTTGCCAGCTCATCTGGATATAGATATGTTGGATCTCAAGAAGAAATGTTTGCGAAAGGTTATGTCATGCTGAGGGGGAAGGCTGAGCCAAATAACCAAGATGTGACAGTGTAGATAGAGTTTGAGCAATAGAAAATATCTTGTTTGGCTGGAGCAAAAGGCTAAGAGGGGAAATGGTAGTTGAGAGACATTCTACTAAGTGAGGTATCCCAAGAATGGAAAGACAAGCACCACATGTACTCA